GCGATTAGGAATTTGTATATGAAGAATGGACAAGGTTTAACGCTAGTATATTCTATTATAGCTCAATCCACATTTAATGACTTACAGGACCTGAGGGAACAGATTTTATGGGTTAAGGGCACAGAAGACGTTCCAATGATTTTGGTTGACAATAAATGTGACCCGGAAGATGAGCGAGTAGTTGGCAAAGAACAGGGCCGGAATTAGGCAAGACAGTGGTGTAACTGTGCCTTTGTAGAAACTTCTGCAAAGTGAAAGATCAATGCTAATGAGATGTTTCATGACCTGGTCAGACAGATAAATAGAACACCACCAGTGGAAAAGAAGAATCCTAAAAAGAAATTAGGTCTGCTACTCTAAGCCTGTAGTCAACAGCAGCTCTGAGCTAGATTACAGGAATGAAGAACTGTTGCCTGATTCGAAAGTGCCAGCATTTCAGACTTCAAAAAATAAATCTGAAGAGGCTTCTCGCACTGTATACATTATGTGAAGAATTTAGATCTTATATTAGTTTGCACAAGTTCCCTGGAGAAAAAAAATTGCTGTGTATGTATATCTCTTGGAAAATAAGACAATAGTGTTTCTCCTTTGCAATAGCAGTTATAACAGGTGCAAAAATATACTTGACTCTCTTATGATTATACAAAAGAGCATGGATACATTTCAAATGTAAGATATTGGTACTATGATCAAATGATTTTGTATTGACCTTTTGATCATGATTCCTCCCTATCAAGCCCTAAACAGTTGAACCGTTCTATTTCATATGTGTAATATTATGAAATGCCCCCCAACCTCATTGCAGCAGATAATGTTCTTGAGTCATTGACTTCATTTTATATTTTTAAAAATATGGAATATCATTTATCATTATATTCTGATTAAAATCCTTGTGCAGCCAGGCGCGGTGGCTCACGCCTGTAATCCCAGCACTTTGGGAGGCTGAGGCGGGTGGATCATGAGGTCAAGAGATCGAGACCATCCTGGTCAACGTGGTGAAACCCCTTCTTTACTAATAATACAAAAAACTAGCTGGGAATGGTAGTGCATGCCTGTAATCTCAGCTACTCAGGAGGCTGAGGCAGGAGAATTGCCTGAACCCAGGAGGCGGAGGTTGCGGTGAGCTGAGATCGCGCCATTGCACTCCAGCCTGGGTAACAAGAGCGAAATTCCGTCTCAAAAAAAAAGAACCAGCTATATGTAATTTATGCTAACCACACATGTATAGATACAAAAATATCTCTGGATGAGGGAACTGTGAATGATTTAATTTTATTCATGACTAATTTATATATTTTAAAGTGTTTGCCTAACGGTCATGTAACAAAAAAAATTTGTAGTATTTGTTTGGTGCAAAAGTAATCACGGTTCTTTTCATTAAATTAATGGCAGAAACTTCCATTACCTTTGCACTCACCTAATAATATTAACAAATATTTGTGTGTTTAGGAAACACTTTCCTTGCATTCTTAGTTAAAGGTTGTTATAGCTCGTGTTATACATGAAACCAGTATTCAAGGATGTAGGTTTTTCAGTGTTGCTGAGCTGGTACATAAAATCTGTTGGGATTAAATATAAAATCTATTGGCATTAAACAAAAGCCACACGTACAAGTCTCTGCAAGACAAGCTCTTCTCTACTTTAGAATTTTTTGGGGCCAGGTGTGGTGGCTCATGCCTGCAATCCCAGCACTTTGGGAGGCCAAAATGGGTGGATTGCCTGAGATCACGAATTCAAGACCAGCCCAGACAACATGGTGAAACCAGGTTAGTATTAAAAATAAAAAAATTCGGCCGGGTGTGGTGGCGCACGCCTGTAGTCCCAGCTACTCGGGAGGCTGAGGCAGGAGAATAGCTTGTAAACGCAGCACTTTGGGAGGACAAGGCGGATGGATCACGAGGTCAAGAGATCGAGACCATTCTGGTCAATATGGTGAAACCCCATCTCTACTAAAAATACAAAAATTAGCTGGGCATGGTGGCGCATGCCTGTAGTCCCACCTACTCGGGAGGCTGAGGCAGGAGAATAGCTTGAACCAGGAGGCAGAAGGTTGCAGTGAGCGGAGATCGTGCTATTGCACTCCAGCCTGGGTAACAAGAGCGAAACTCCGTCTCAAAAAAAAGAGATATTTGTAATTTAAATAAATGTTGTAAATAATAATTGAAACTTTAAATCCAGATTTTAAAAAATTGTCGTTTTGGGCTGGGCACAGTGGCTCGTCTGTAATCCCAGCACTTTGGTCAGGCAGGCAGAACACTTGAGGTCAGGAGTTTGAGACCACACTGGCCAACATGGTGAAACTCCATCTCTACTAAGAACACAAAAATTAGCCAGGTGTAGTGGTGAGTACCTGTAATCCCAGGTACACGGGAGACTGAGGCCAGATAATCCTTTGAACCCGAGAAGTGGAGGCTGCAATGATCCAAGATTGCACCATTAAACTCCAACCTGGGTGACAGAGTGGAATGGAGACAGAGACATTTAAAAAAGAGAGAGAGAGAGAGAGAGAAGGAAAGAAAGAAGGAAGGAAGAAGGAAGGAAGGACGACCAAGGTTACACAAGAAGTACAGATGTCTTTCCTTACTCATGACATGATTACCTATCTAGAAAATCCAATGGAATCTACATAGGAGCTCCTAGAAATGCGTTTAACAAGCTTATAGGAAATAACACACAAAAATCAGTTTTCTATATACTAGTAGTAAACAATTAGAATTGAAATAATCGACATAAAAATATCAAATACTTGCCAGGCGCGGTGGCTCAACCCTGTAATCCCAGCACTTTGGGAGGCTCAGGCAGGTGGATCACAAGGTCAAGAGATCAAGACTATCCTGGTGAACAGGGTGACACCCCGTCTCTATTAAAAATATAAAAAATTAGCTGGGCATGGTAGTGCGTGCCTGTAATCCCAGCTACTCAGGAGGCTTAGGCAGGAGAATTGCCTGAACCCAGGACACGGAGGTTGCGGTGAGCCGAGATCGTGCCACTGCACTCCAGCCTGGGTAACAAGAGCGAAACTCTGTCTCAAAAAAAATAATAATAAAATTAAAAAAATAAAAAAAATAAATACTTAAGGACAAATTTGACAAAAGATGTTAAACACATGTACACTAAAAGTTACAAATTTTAGACAATTAGATAAAAATTCATGGAATAGACTAGACTCACTCTCAGTTATGTCTACTAGCTGATACGTTAAGATGTTAATTTTCTCCATACTAATATAAAAAGATATAACACATAATCCCATCAAAATCACACCATCTTTTTTTTTAACACAAGTTTTTCCAAAAGTTACCTATTTTTCATCAATTGAAAGATATTAATCCCTGAATTAACCGAATAAACCTAAGGAGGAAAATATGGAACTAAGTTAATACAGATTCTGAGCCTAGAGATCAGTTCCCAAAGAGAAGTGAAGGACAGTAGCTGACTACACTAGAGAGTACTCTGTCCAGTGGAACAGAACAGATGTTCTACTGATTGTGTGTGTACAGTAAGTAAGTGTGTGTGTGGCAGAGGAGGATGTAAGAGTGCCATCTCTTATTTTTTTTTTTTTCAGACGGAGTTTCACTCGTTTCCCAGGCTGGATTGCAAATCATGGCACAATTCAGCTCACTGCAATCTCTGCCTTCTGGGTTCAAGCAATTCTCCTGCCTCAGCCCAATGAATAGCTGGGATCACAGGCATGTGCCACCATGCACGGCTAATGTGTTTGTATTTTTAGTAGAGATGGGGTTTTACCATTTTGGCCAGTCTGGTTTCAACCTCCTGATCTCAGGTGATCCGCCCACTTCACCCTCCCAAGTGCTAGGATTAAGGGCATGAGCTACCATTTCATTTTCTAGAAAACTAAGGTAGTCCTGACAAAGACATACTGAATAAAAAATAGGTACTTAGAAATATTGAGGTAGACAGATGAAAGGGAAAAGTGGCATTGGGCATTGAGGTTCATGCTGGTAATCCCAGTGCCTTAGGAGGCTGAGGCATGAGAAATGCTTGAGGTCACACGTTCAAGACCAGCCTGGGCAAAATAGAAATTAAAAAAAAAATTAATTAGCCAGGCTCGGTGGCTAAAGCCTGTAATCCCAGCACTTTGGGAGGCTGAGGAGGGTGTATCACGAAGTCAAGAGATCGAGACCAACGTGGTCAACATGGTGAAACCCCATCTCTACTAAAAATACAAAAAATCAGCTGGGCATGGTGGCGCATGCCTGTAATCCCAGCTACTCAGGAGGCTGAAGCAGGAGAATTGCCTGAACCCAGGAGGCGGAGGTTGCGGTGAGCCGAGATCGTGCCATTGCACTCCAGCCTGGGTAACAAGAGCGAAAACTCCAGCTCAAAAAAAAAAAAAAATTATTTAAAAAAAAAAGTTGGTCAGGTGCAGTGGCTTACACCTCTAATCCCAGCACTTTGGGAGGCTGAGGCAGGCATATCACAATGTCAGGAGTTTAAGACCAGCCTGATCAACATGGTGAAACCACAACTCTACTAAAAATACAAAAATTAGCCAGGTGTGGTGGTGCGTGCCTGTAATCCCAGCTACTCAGGAGGCTGAGACAGGAGACTCGCTGGAACCCAGGAGGCAGAGGTTGCAGTGAGCTGAGATTGCGCCATTGCACTACAGCCTGGACGACACAATCATTAATAAAGACTTAATCATTCTTAAAGGAAAAAAAATAAGCAATACTGAAGAAACATTATAGGGCTTCTATTGGCAATAACTGGAGTAATAATTTTTTTTACATAATACATTTCTTTAGTATATATTTTTAGTATTTTATTTCAGGATTTCTAAAGTAGTTTGTCTTTGACCCATAATTTGTTATTAAGTAGGTCCTATCATCACATTTTTTAGTGCTGAAACTGACATATAAACAATTCTGCGGTTTCTTTGGTGGGAAAAATAGCAGAAAATACAGAATTAGCAAAACTAGATTCACTGGCTCTATCATGTTTGCTAGGTGTAAAAAAAATGACAGTTTTCAAACAGCTATTTATTCACAATCTTTTACTCTAGAAATTTTAAGAGGTTTTGAGTCCATTCCAGTATAAAAATAAGGCCAAAGTGGCCCTGTAAAATCATCATTAAAAGTATACAGTAGAGAGCTATCATTCACATTATAAAAGGAAATCTCACTCATTTCATAGTCTAAAAAAATGCCAATCTTACTAGGTGCTACTTTTGGCAGCGGATTAATTTCCTCATGACCCAATACAATATAATTATCCCGACCAGATCGCCGAATTCCCCACAATCCATTCTGTACTAATGTTGGTGAGCGCTTCCTCCTTCTGGGAAGAGAGTCATCACAGACACCAAGGATCCATTCAGGCTTGTCTTTCACTTCTACTTCCCAGTACTGCCGGCCACTACTATAGCCCTTAGAACCCACAACAGCTGGGAGGCGATAAAATCTTCTTGGGTTTGAAGGTAAGATTTGCACTGTATTTCCATAGCGCACAGTTTTCCTATCTGCTGAGACTATAAGTTTATGATGTGCTGTTTCAGGATCTAGAATTACATCTACTTGAAATCGCTTGATAATTTTGTATAGGCCAGAATATTGTGGAGGCAGACGGTAACCGTATTCTTTTAATCTGAATGGAAAAGGTTCAGGGAATTTGAAATTTTTGTACCTGTGATAGATATCCTTAACATTTGCCAGTAATTCCAGTCCTGGCTTTACATATGTGCTCTCTATCTCCTTTAGTAGATATTTTAATGAGGAGGTATGATCTGAGAATTTTCTTAGGCTTTCATTTAGTTGTGCTAAAATATCCGTCTCTTCAGCTTGTAATTGCCCAAGAACAGTCTCTTGCTCCTTTTGGAGAAATAACCTAAGTTGCTCAAATTCAGACCTGACTTCTTCTTCCTTATGTTTTACCTTTTTCTTCAGTTCTAACGATTTTCTGGTTTGTACAGTTATGATTTTTTTCAGTTAGTTCCACTCCCTCCTTCCATGCAGCATTGTATTCCTCCAATTTTTTCCTGTGATGGGAGGCAGCCTTCTTTCTGGGCCGAACACAGTGAAGCTGGTGATCAGTGGAGAAACGGCACCTTGGACATAAAAGCTCTAGGTCTTCCCGACAGAAAAAGGTCAAAACCTGATTATGCTTCTTACATACATGCTTCTCTTCCTGCCGCTTTCTCTTGCTTCTTATCTGGAGTTGCTTAGCAATTTCAGTCAAATGACCCAGTTGAGGATTGCTTGTCAATTTCCTTTCGGGACAGCAAAAGTGGCAAAAAGGGCAGGGAAAGCAAGTAATCCAGACAGACGGGACAGCTAGCCACTGCTTGAAGGTCAGCCATTGAGCCTTGAACAAAGATGGTAGGTAAAGTAATTATTTTAATAAGGCCTAGCTCTCTAGACTTAAGTCCCAGTAAGCAGTACATATCTTCCCCCAGACTTTGAAATTTGAATTGGCTTTCAGTTTTACTGCTTTGGCATGTAGATGGCAGCTTCTAGAAACTTCTCAGCTCCTTAGCTTCAGAGTCTACGGCCATGAATACTTCACAGCCTGCGGCCTATTGCACATTTCAACGTATTAGCTGGGTTGCTGCTCTTCCCTCTTAATGAAATAAAGTCAAGTTTTCCTCAAGAAAGTAGACTCAGGTCTAAGATAAGGAATCCTCCCTATGAGTGAGAAAAGACAAAACATTACAAATCTGATTACATAATCACAAATGTATTAAACATTCACACAGGAATCATCAAAGAATGCTGAAATCACTGGGTGGATGTTCTTGGAGAAACAAGATATTAATATCGCAGAGATTCGCACCATACATTACTTACACACACACACACACACACACACACACACAATGTTAAAAATGTGGAACAAACTTACGTGCTTCTTGGTAGAATGCAATGGCAACTTTACAGCATTGCTCATATCATAGTCTTTCCAAAAATATTGACTTTCAAGCTAACCATGAGAAAATTAATTCAGATTGTGGAGCAATCCTACTAGACAACTGGTATGTATTCTATAAAATTGTCAATTATACGAAAAACAATCATAAAAAAGATTTCCAGATTTAAGGAGAGGAAAGAAACGTGAAAAATACAACATGTGATATCTGATTGGATCTGAAATCTTGAAATTTAACAGCAACAACAACAAAGAACTAAAAAAATGCTGGAAACAGGCCCGGTATGGTGGCTAACACCTGGAATCACAACACTGAGGGGCCAAGATGTATGACTCCCTTGCAGCCAGGGGTTCAAGACCAGCTTGATCAACATGGTGAAACTCCATCTCTACTAAAAATACAAAACATTAGCTGGGCAAGGTGGCATGTGCATGTAATCCCAGCTGCCTGAGAGACTGAGGCAGGAGAATCACTTCGCTGGACCCTGGGAGATACAGGTTGCAGTGAGCCGAGATTGTAGGACAACACTAAACCGTGGGCACTAGAATGAAACCATATATTAAAAAAAAGAAAGAAAGAAAGAAGAGAAAGAAAGAAATAAAGAAAGAAGGAAGGAAAGAAAGATAAAGAGAGAATTGGGAAGAAATAAATGTAAGAAACTTAGTATGGACTCCATCTCACATAATGTTCTACCAGTGTTAAATTAGGTACAATAAAATTATAGTAAAAAATAAATGGCTTCGCCGGGCGCGGTGGCTCAAGCCTGTAATCCCAGCACTTTGGGAGGCTGAGGTGGGTGGATCATGAGGTCAAGAGATCGAGACCATCCTGGTCAACATGGTGAAACCCCGTCTCTACTAAAAATATAAAAAATTAGCTGGGCATGGTGGTGCGTGCCTGTAATCCCAGCTACTCAGGAGGCTGAGGCAGGAGAATTGCCTGAACCCAGGAGGCAGAGGTTGCGGTGAGCCGAGATCGCGCCGTTGCACTCCAGCCTGGGTAACAAGAGCGACACTCCATCTCAAAAAATAAATACATAAATAAATGGCTTCATTGTTAGGAGATACATATTAATACACAGCAGGAAGCCATCTGGAAATCTGAAACTTTCAGAAATTTCCACAATTAACAAAATATATAGCCAAGCATGGTAGCTCACACCTTTAATCCCAGCACTTTTTAAGGCCAAGGTGGGCAGATCACCTGAGGTCGGGTGTTTGAGATCAGCCTGACAGAGATACCCCGTCTCCACTAAAAATAAAAAGTGAGCCAGGTGTGGTGGTGCATGCCTGTAATTCCAGCTACCCAGGAGGCTGAGGCAGGAGAATTGCTTGAACCTAGGAGGTGGAGGTTGCAGTGGGCTGAGATGACACCATTGCACTCCAACCTGGGTGACACAGAGAGACTGTGTCTCAAACAAACAAAAACATAAATAAACAGAGAAAACATGAATGTAACAAACAGTTAACAATGGGGTGAATCCAGGAAAAAAGTATAAGGATACCCAGCCTTTCAAACTTTCTTTAGGTCTGATGCTTTCAAAATAAAAGTGAGGGATCAAGACTTCCTGGTTTGCTTTCAAGACACCTACAGGTACCTGATTTTAAGCAAGTCAGATTCCTCCATCAAACCTTGCAAGCTACCTAACCCAGCCTGACTAACATGGAGAAACTCCATCTCCACTAAAAATACAAAATTAGCCCAGTGTGGTGGTGCATGCCTGTAATCCCAGCTACCCGAGACACTGAGGCAGGAGAATCACTTGAACCTAGGAGTCAGAGGTTTAGTGAGCTAAGATCATGCCATTGCACTCTAGCCTGGGCAACAAGGGTGAAACTCTGCTCTCTCTCTGTCTCTCTGTCTCTCTGTCTCTCTCTGTCTCTCTCTCTCGATATATATATATATATATATATATATATATGGCCAGGCTGGTCTGAACTCCTGACCTCAGGTGATCCACCCACCTCGGCCTCCCAAAGTGCTAGGATTACAGGCATGAGCCACCGTGCCCGGCCGGCCAAAGGAACTTTCTGCTAGATCTCTTGTCATCTGAAACCAAACAAGAGCCATGAATTGCATTTGCTTATTAGTTCTTTTAAATCTTTTTCAATCTAGAAAAATGTTCCCTGCCTCCACCTATGTCCTAGACTACCCCACATTCAAGATTTGCCAATGGCTTTACTGGTTCTTTTTTTTTTTTTTTCACGAGGTAGAGCCTTGCTCTGTTGCCCAGTTGCAGGTTCTTGGTTCATTGCAGTCTCTACCTCCTGGGTTCAAGTGATTCTCCTGCTTCAGCCTCCTGAGTAGCTGGGACAACAGGTATACACCACCACACCCAGTTAATTTTTGTATATTATGTGGAGATGGGTTTTCGCCATGTTGTCCAGGCTGGTCTTGAACTCTGGACTGCAGGTGATCTGCCTGCCTCGGCCTCCTAAAGTGCTGGGATTACAGACATGAGCCACTGCTCCCAACATGCCTATTGCTTGTTGACGTCAATGAATTTGTACCTCAGTCCTTCACTCTTTTTTTTTTTTTTTTTTTTTTTTTTTGAGACGGAGTTTCGCTCTTGTTACCCAGGCTGGAGTGCAATGGCACGATCTCGGCTCACCGCAACCTCCGCCTCCTGGGCTCAGGCAATTCTCCTGCCTCAGCCTCCTGAGTAGCTGGGATTACAGGCACGTGCCACCATGCCCAGCTAATTTTTTGTATCTTTAGTAGAGACGGGGTTTCACCATGTTGACCAGGATGGTCTCGATCTCTCGACCTTGTGATCCACCCATCTCGGCCTCCCAAAGTGCTGGGATTACAGGCTTGAGCCACCGCGCCCGGCCCAGTCCTTCACTCTTTAACCATTCTGTCAATCTGCCTTTGGAGAAAGAATGTAAGCCATTTACATTTAAAATAATAACTGATAAGAGGGGATTTACTTTTGTCATTTTACTGTTTGTTTTCTAAAGGCTGTGTAACATATTCTTGTTCACTAAAATTAATATTGCACTCCAGCCTGGGTAACAAGAGCGAAAATCCGTCTCAAAA